ATATTTTGCAGGGTCGCCCTCCCATAAAGACTGCTGAAACTAAGCCCTGACCTTAACAATCCTCATTATCATTAACATAATACAAATAATGAAATACATTAAATTAGAAAATTTGCACATGTGAAAAGAGTGTTCAGAGGTCAATTCAACGTGTTGGCAAAGGTCACTTTCCATCAAAGTGTTTTTGGCATAAAACGCGACCACGTGCCCATCGGCAACAACAACAGCTGCAGCAGTGGATTAGATCCCCAGAGATTAGTGCTAGGCCGCGTTTCGGTTGCTCTGTCGAGACACGAAATCGTGGCCTGCAAATCCTCGCGCCGTGCCTGGCACGCACGCACACACGCACGCACGCACGAAGTCACCGACAGCCCCTTTAGAGGAGCACTGTTAGTCATGGCCTCGCGAGACGGACGCGGCGTGAGGATAATGACACACGAAATTACATTCGCATTTAGACGCCGGGTTAGCGGGAGACGCAGAGCATTTCACGGAGCACTCAACCATCGCACGCGACACGCGGCCACACAGAACCACGTGCTCACGCACACAATTACTGTCTGTGGAGGGTGGCAAGTGCAGCTGTGCGCAATATGCCACAGCCAAGAGCGATGCTTGGTACGCTATGCGCAAAGGTTGCACGTAGAAGGAGACTTGATGATGATGCAGGCAGTGATGAGAAGGAAACTGGCACTGTTTGGACACACGTGTAGGATGGACAACAACTGGAAAATTAAAAGTGTGTTGTTGTTTGGAATAATTGAAGGAACCAGAAATAGAGGAAGACCTAAGAGAGAATGGCTTGAGGACGACATCACGAGAGATTGTTGGCAGAACGATGTAGCACTACTTGAGCATATTGGCACAAGACAGACGAATGTGGAAACATATGACGAAATAATAATAATGCAATTTATAAGGCGTGAAAATTTGCGGACGTAACGGCAGCAACTCAGAGGCGTGAAAGGTGCAGTGGACACCTACTATGGGATAACTGCCCATGTATAGTGGTGATGATGATGACGGCAAGTGGTTGCTAACCTGCGGTCCATGGAATACCGGTGATCAGAAAGCCAGCGGAAGTTGCCCGCGGAACTGGTGCAGATACAACGATACAGAGCAACAATTAATTCTGGAAAATGCGTGATTGGCGCGTGGTGGTTCGCGACGTAGTTTCCGAGGACTGGCGGAGATCCGTGGGTTCAGAAAGGTTGGGAACCACTGCTACAAGCTGTATCTACGTGCTGCACGCTATAGGGTGCAGCACGCTATAGGGTGCAGCACGCTATAGGGTGCAGCACGCTATAGGGTGCAGCACGCTATAGGGTGCAGCACGCTATAGGGTGCAGCACGCTATAGGGTGCAGCACGCTATAGGGTGCAGCACGCTATAGGGTGCAGCACGCTATAGGGTGCAGCACGCTATAGGGTGCAGCACGCTATAGGGTGCAGCACGCTATAGGGTGCAGCTTTGAGCGGCATACTGTCAAGCAGGGATTTTGACTCAGTTTATGTGGATGGGCCATATAAAATTAGCGTGTGCTGGTGTGGTCCAGGAAAGCCACAGATCTCAGTGGGCTGCAGCTCAGTGGGCCACTCCATGAATCTCAGTGGGCCACATCTGGCCCTTGGGAAGCCACTGGGACAAAAGCTCAAGAGATCCGTCAATAACATACATTCATAAAAAACCCAGCAACGTTTCGGGTAAAGGCCCTTCTTCATAACGAACCTAGAGACACGTTAATTTGTTTAACCCGGTGTAAGCTCAAGGCAGCGGGACGAAACCCATTTTGCACGAGTGACCTGGGCCACTAAAATGACAAGCAATGAGATAAAAATAAAGGACAACCAGAAAGCAAATAGAAATCGGTGCAAAAACAACCGCGTGGCAGGAGGAAATACTCGAGTGGGGTACAAGCGCCGTGTGTGTGCGCGTGCGTCGCCCGCTGCGCAAGAGAGCGCTCGTCCATTATCCGCTCGTCACAAACGTGCAAAGGTCAAAAATAGCGAATGATTATTTATTACATTTTTAAAGAAGTTCCACACACCCAAACCGCTGGCTGCACACGCAGGGACTTCCCTAATCCTGCAAAACCACGCGCCGTTTTTATTTTCACCGCGAAACGCCTGCGGGATGGGAAGGGGGGGGGCGCGGTGAGGGAGGGGGGGGGCCGCGGTAGGGGGGGGGGGGTTGTGGGGGGAGACCCCGTCAAATCGGACGTCGTTGCAGCCTCGGCCGACCAAGACGGTGGCGGGATTTGAGGCAATTTAGGGAATGATCGACGCTCCTGTTTATTAATAAAGCCCAGGCGCCAGAGACTTCACAGGACCTCGCCACTCACCGCCGTGATTAATGTTTTAAACGGTGTCACTAACTAGCCCAAATTACAATATCACATTTTATTTGATTACAGGCACCGTCATGTTAATTTAACGATGCGTCACACACTCTGGCGTAATAAACCCGCGTAAACACCTCCCCTGAGTGCATAAAACTAAAATTATTTTACCTGCTCTCGACGCTCGTCAAAGCACTCAACGTCAGCGCGTGGCGGCACTGCGGCGGTAACAGTGGGGGGGGGGGGGGGGGTGCACGGCGAGGGAGGAGATGGAGCGCGTTCTCCCCGATGACCCAACCCGCATCATCCAGGTTCCATCAGACCTATCGCCAACAATCCCCCCCCCCGATCATTTAGGTAGGGGGGGAGGGGGGTGGCAGGAAATGTTCTCCCCATTCCTGACCACTGCTCGCCGTCTACTTTTCCAGGATATTAGGAGGCACAGGTCCAATGTGGTCGGCGTGGAATTAAATAAGAAGGGGAGCGGCTGTGTGTCTTCCAATTCTCTCCGTCCCCCTCCCACCCCACCCCCCCTATCATCTCTTTGTAGCCCAGTGCCTGGGCCCCTCTGCTCGCGGTGGGCTCCTGTGCAGCTGCACCGCCTGCCTGCACAGTCGACTGCCACGCCGCCACTGCCTTTTCTTTGATTCACCCTCATCGCCAACGAACCCTCGAGCAGCCACGCCGCGGGATCCCTAATGACAGGCGAAGTGTTCCGGGTGTGCTCGGCGTGGGGGGGCCTGAATGGAATTGTGAGAGGGGGCGGTTGTGGGGGGGGGCGGTGGTGGGGGAGGTCTGGAGGGGGGAGAGGGGTGGGGGTCTGGGAGCCCGAGCGGAGTGCGTGCATTTGCCGTGGGTGAGCGCCGGGGATCCATCGCGACCGCTTCGATGACGACGACGACAACGACTACGACCGCCGGCGCTCTGGACCTCTCTCTCGGTCACGCCCGCAGCTCGCTCCCCGGGCGACGCCAGCTCCCTGACAACGCACTGCCGCTCTGTCGGACGAGGAGGGGGCCGAGCGCCGTGCATGGCGGTTTGGAGATTTCCCGACGGCGCCAATGAAAATATACACTGTCGATTATTTATTTATTTGGGTTTTAACACGGGGAGGGGGAGGTCGTTAAAATCCGAATATCTGTCACGTTCACAACACGCGTCACCTTTATATTTAAAATATGAGGCGCAGAGAGGGAGACAGAAAGGCAGGTGTGCGGGGAGGAGGGGGGGGCAGTGAGGGAGGAGGGGTGAAGATATAGAGAAAGCAATATCAAAGACAGAGATGGAGACAGAGATCAGAGGGAGAGGAGAAGCCAGGGACACGCGAGAGGGGAGAGAGGGGGAGAAGAGAGAGTGCTCCGTTTCCGAGGCAACGCACACGGCCGTGGCATACCGATGAGAAGGCGCTGCCAAGCGAGCGTGCTCGCACACGCGCGCACACACACGCGCGCACACACACGCGCGCACACACACGCACACACGCACACACACACACGCACACACACACGCGCACACACACGCGCGCACACACACACGCACACACACGCGCACACACACACGCGCACACACACACGCGCACACACACGCGCACACACACACGCACACGCGCACACACACACGCACACACACACGCACACATGCGCACACACGCACGAGCATACATAGGCAAACATACACATACGCACGCACACATATATTAGAGTCAGTGTCGACACAAGCAACATTATATACACAAAGCAAGAGCCAAGGAAAACAAAGCAGAGATGGGTAATGGCACAGGGAAACACGGAAACAGAGACAGGGAGACACAGGAGCAGAGACACGCGGGAGACACAGACAGAGGGCAGGGAGACAGGGAGACACAAGGAGAGGGAGACAGTGACAGGGAGACACAGACAGAGGAAGGGAGACACAGGCAGAGGGCAGGGAGACAGGGAGACACAAGGAGAGGGAGACAGTGACAGGGAGACACAGACAGAGGCAGGGAGACACAGGGACAGAGGGACAAAGAGAGGGAGACAGCCAGAGGCAGGGAGACACAGGGACAGGGTCACATGGAGACAAGGAGACACGGAGACGGGCAAAGGCAGGCACACAGAGAGGCACGAGGACTGGGGAATCAATCACTCCTCCCACACGCAGGTCGTGTCATGGGGAGCACGCTGGATTTAACCGCGGCGCTCAGCAGATGCACATCGCGCGTGAGCTCATTTAGACATCTAAATACAATAAAAAAAACAGCAAATAGCCCTGAGATTAATAGCGCTGGCATGGAATAGCTTCGTAAGGACAAGTGTTGCATCGCGCTAGCTATAATAGAGCTGCAGGTTCATATCAATTCAAATATTTTGCATAGAATATCGCTCGAGATTGGACATTTAAATTCTACAACGTACACAGTATGCATTGATGCAATGCCAAATACAGCCGAAGACCAGCTATCATGGAGCAGTGGATGTAGAACAGCTATTCTGCTCTTGTGTATGGCAGAAATATATTGAGGAGCTAAATGTCAATGTCAAGGTCTGCTTGCCACGAGAGGGGTTCAGGAGAGAGTTCGTGTAGTTCTACTTTCCCTCCATATTGTCCATCGTTTCAGGCTGGATGACCACAATTGCACTGTGGCTCTTCTAGAATTAATCTCCATGTGTCTCTATGCGTCTCCATGTACCTCCGTGTATGAATGGGTTTCCGACATTGTCCGAAGATGTGGCTTGCATGCCAGCAATCGCACTACTTGCGGCTTGCGTCTTCAACTTTCCACTTGTGATGGAGAGACGGTGCGCATCGGCCTGGTGATGCTCCGATGCGGTTGACGGTCCTCGAGGAGGAGGAATGTCAGAGTCGGGAGGCCTGATGTTTGGGTCTCAATCGAGGTGTTTATTCTGGACATCCGCATTGCCCCACTGGGTGTGGTTCTGGGATGGTGACCGCAGCAATCCCAGAAGGAGGATTGGGTATTGAGCTCAGTGGCGAGGAGCATTGTTGATGGGTCGGTGGTTGCCGGTGTCAACTCCCTTGCAGTTTGCAGGTCTCTGCGGCTATTTGGTGGCAGAATATTCACCAGAACAGGGAGCCATGGGGCTGGTATCAGTTTCAGTGTTCCTGTTACAATGTGCATTGCAATATTTAATTGTGCATCTAGCAGATTTGTGTATGAGCTCCTGGATCAGGCTGGAGCGCAGTGACTCTATTTAAACTATTAAAATATGTTCATTTTGCCAGGTAAGGCCCACTGAGCCATTTAGCTGTTTTTCAGAAGTTACCTGGCCACAAATAGCTCAACGAAGTGGCTTATCACATTGAATTCATAGCAGCCAAATACTATAAACACAAGTCGATTCTAAATGTGGAGGGAAAATACGGAGGACCCGGAGAAAAATCCACGCGACCACGGAGAGAACATACTCCAAATATACAGCAGGCATCAGGGTCGGGATCGAACCCACGACTTCCTGCATACAAGGCAAGGCCTCCTCTGGTACCGAGTAGATCATCAGTGAGAGGGCGGCAGTTCAGCTGAGGCACCCCAGGTAATTCCTGCACGTTTCTGCAGATGATTTTTGATTTGGTCTTTTCACCGATCTGTTTTATGTGGGGCTTGAAGGTCAGCCTTCTGTCCACGATAACCCCTATATAAATTGGAGTCGGGTCATTGCACACTGGGCTACTACAGAAGGACACATCAAGGGTGGCATCTGCTGCACGATTGTTCAGGTGGAAAGCACGTGTGGTGGTTTTGGAAGGACTTGGTCATTGTCCAGTGACGAAAATACCCTTCAGCTATTAGGGTATTGGCAATGTTCTCTATGTTTGTGCCCAGTGCAGCAAGGGCTATGCCATCCAATGAACTTGCAAGATGATGGAAATGGCAGGTCACTTATACATGGTGTTAGCGATGGTGCTATTACCGAGCCTCGAGGGAGGGCATTGTTCACAATTCTCTTGCGGCTGCGCTTGCCAGCGAGGTGTACCCTGGCAGTGCGGTTGCTGAGCATTGCAACAGAAGGGTGAACAGAGGAACGGCTCTGATAATTTGGGCCATCTTCCACAGCAGGCCATGACGTCAAACGGTGTCGTAGGCAGCAGAGAGGTCAATCATATCTGTGGCGGGTTTCTGTTGACGCTAGACACCAGCTTCTACGAGGGTAGCGAAGGAGAACATCTATAATGTAACAGCAGGTCTATGTTAGAACTATCGTTGAACAGCAGATCTATAATGCAATCGCTTAGCACGAGAATTGCCACACACAGAATTATCACGAATATAATAGCTGTTGTCGAACAGAAGCTGTAATACAGCAGGGCCAGTATGGAAGGAGTGGGATAAAACACAGGGTAATGAAACCGTCAAGAACCTGAGGAGGCAGAACAGCCATCTTCCTTAACGGATGCCGACTAGAACATGGAATTCAACTCTGTCAACGGGGCAGCATCGTCACAGCACGCGGCTTGAGGTTCCAAAGAATAACGTCAATGAGAAATGTACCACAACCACCGGCACTGCACAGGTATTCGCTGAGAGAACGACTGAGAACTGCCAGGAGGAGGAGGAACCACAGACGGGAAAGGCAGCAGCAGCCACCCAGTGAGCGGGCACTAAATTCCCCCCCCCCCCCACCTGCCCCCCAAGTTCTGCGGTCCTCTATATATGTCAAGGTGTTATCTGCCAATTCATGTGTGCACATGTGGGAGGAAACCGGAGCGACCGGAGAAACCCCACGCGGGGGCAACACTCAATCCCGTACAGATGGAACGGGTGGAGTCCGCATTAATGCTGCACCGCGTTCTCCTGCAGAGACAGGATGTGGCATCACCTCGATGCCCACATTAAGAGAGCTTCCCAACATTTGTGCGATGATCCGCCAACCCTCGCTGCCTCCACTGCGCTGGATGGCAGGCTGCCACGTGCGTAGCCACTAACCGCCCGGCAAATATATTCACAGGAGAGCAGCAATAGCGAGAGGATGCGTTGAGAAAGAGCTCTTGATTAAACGTTTGAGCAGAATAGTCGAAAATGAATGTCAGAATGTGCGTATTTGGGGGTGTAGGAACGATCCGCATACTTGCAGCGCGGACACGGGCAGAGGAGGATGCTGGGAGATTTGAAGAGATGTGAAACGTGGATTTGGAGAAGAATGGACATGATGAGCTGGACAGATAAAATAAAGGCGAAGGAAGAGGTGCTGAGGATAACACGAGAGGAAAAGCACTGTGCCCGAGAGAGAGAGAGAGAGAAGAACTGCATTGGGCGCGCAGTGAGAGGGGCGAGAGATTGATGAGTCGTTGCAAGGGCTGAGACGAGGCCAGGGTTTGAGGGATGCATGGAAGGTGGGACGACCACGGGGCACTGAAGAGGGAGATGAGGTTGGATGAGCTGCAGAATTTACGAGGCCATAAAGAGAAGAGCTGAAGACGGCGGAGTTTGAGAAAGTAGTGCAGAATATATGACTTATGCCCGGTGCGTGTAAGTATAGACAGAATACATACTGGATGGAATAAAACAGCAGCATTGGAATAGAATAATGCACAGCCTTTTGTCAATACCACGGCTGGAAGCCGTGCCAGGCATGGCAAGTTCTTTGACGATACTTTAACATTCTGCTCAATGTGGGTTTGTGAAGAGGTGAGGGAGTGTGGGTTGGGGGCTGGGGAAGGACCAGTTCAGATATCACTCACACTGAAGGTGCCTGTGGCCCGGGAATCAAACTCAGGCCACCGGTTCATATCAGAGCACACAATCCGCCGTGCAACCACTCAACCATCAAATAATAATAAAAACACAATGATGGCGTTTCGATGGTATAATCAGGAAGCTGGGGGACACTGCCTGCAGTCAGGTGGAGTAAAGCTCCAAAATTTCTAGGAGGCTCAACCAGGACACACGATGGGCTGGTAGCTACTCCCTCCATCAGCTCCGCCCACATTTATATATCCACGCCCAGTCAACCACCAGCCCACACAGCGAGCGGCCTCCTCTTTGCTCTGACATAGGCCTCACCCACCCTGCTCAGGTAGCTCTGCCCATTACTCAGGTAGCCTCGCCCTTTGCGTGGATCATGAGGCAAAGCATGTGGCCAAAATTAAAAATCTCGCAAAAGCATCGGAGGGAACACCGGAACAGCCTCTCTGAAACTACGGGGATTGTCCCGATTCAAATGGAGGCATCTGGTGGCTTTAACTAGTATCCGTCGTGCGTGGCGTGGCCGCGTTTAGCGGACGGGGCAGAGTGTTAAAAGGTCCTCGCGCCCCCCCCCCGCCACCCCCGAGTGAGGAGCCATCCCTCAGTGTCGCGAGTAAAAAGGTCACAGCGGAGCGCAGCGCCGCCACCGCCACGCAGCGCAATTACGTTGGTCACGGACGTGGCACCACCTCCACCCCCCCCCCGCTCTCGAGAGCCTCGGTGTTCTTCCGGCCGTGGCGCAGCGAGGCAAGACAGCCGCTGGCGAAGGACGGAGCGATGCGGGGGCAATGACCGCTTCAAGCGGTGCGAGTTTTATCGCCGGGAAAGATACACCAGGCTTATTTTCTCCCTACTGGAGTAGGTGGCTCATGACTCGCAGTAGTCACAGCCCGAGTGGAAGACATACTGGATGTACTGTGACAGGTGCGAAAATAGCTTCCAGGTTGCTGACCAAAATGGACTCAGATAAACTTAATCCTTTAAAAGATTACAAAGCAAACGATCTTCTAGCCCAGCAAAAGAACCACGAGCAATGCCAGGGGGGGGGGGGCATAGCAGAGCGTGGGTGTCAAGCTTAGGAAGGCCGAGAGTGTGCTGCCCTTTCACCGATCGGATGTTCTGCCCCCTTAAGCGCTGTGATTTAAATTTGAACAGCTGTTCTGTCACCCAGCACTTGTGCCTGCTGCTCTCTCTGCCACAAGCCCTGCCACCCAACCTCACACCCCCCCCCCACACCTCTCCATGACCCTGTGCCGGTTAATTTGTATCGGAAAAATCGTTCCGCTCGCCGCCTCTCTTCTTCTCCTCCTCCCCGTGGCACACGGATGCAGGAGGCTTGATAATTTTTTTTCATCACGGCACGGAAAGCACTGGAGCCGGAGTCCCGCCTGCCTGTGCGTGCCTTGCATTGGTGCCACGCTAGTGTGAACCAAACAGCGGGAGCCCAGTTAACGAGCGGAGCTTAATCCACCACCCGAGCTGTTAGCGGGCATCACAACACGTGCACCGCCACTTTTGTCAACCGGCTGGCAAAACGGCCGCCGGGAACAGTGCGGTCGCACTCGGCCTCGCACCGCCGCGCCGAGACGGGGGGTGGACAGGGCGGTGGTTAAACCACGCAGGGCGCGCCGCTTCTCGCCAAGGTCACAAAGCGGTTGTTCGACCGCGTGGGTTTTCGTGGTGGCGCTGTACGAGTGTTCGGATTGCGTGGCCGCGCACTGAGCCTCTGTTGCCGTGGCTGCTCCATGAACCGAAGCTCCCGGCACAACGAGGCGAAATGTCGGACATCGGCATCGCGACCTCATGGGTTCCTCCGTTGAGACACGTTGCCAAACGATGCGTGGTGCAGCCCCAAAAGCACGTCGCAGAGCAACGCCCGGGAGGTCACGGGCTGAGAGAACTTGCAAACCCAGCCTGGGGCTCTTTGCCCACACGCCCAGCTCAGCTACGGTAATAGCAAGGACAAATATTTGGACCCTGCGGGAGGCCATAAAATAGTACATAGTGTCTGCTTCACAGTGGAGGTCAACGGTCCCGTGGCCACGTGTGCCGGCGGAAAGGTCCAAATTTGCCAAACGCAAAAAATGATGCCGCAAATTACTTAGCTGGGAGAATAAGACAGCAGCATCGTCCCCTACGGCGAAACTACAGCAGCCTGTGCCTCGTGAAACACAGCAGCAGCGCCTCTTTCGGCGACAGTCGCCTTGCTCTGTGAGAATGGCGCGAACACCGAATGTACTCGTGATTTGCTTTGATATGTAAAGCGCGCAGACACTGCTGGTGGCAGGCACTTCACTCGAGCGGACTGAGTTGAGCCACTTCTTTGATGCAATGAAGTTGCAGTTAACGTACAGCGTATTGAGATGCAATCGTAAGCATGACGCACAATGCAATCGTATTAATATTATCTTGGTAGTAAACCACAGTAGTCAAAGTAAACGTGATTTCGCCAGCAGATGGGAAGACAACACAGAAAGACAAATTGCATGCAGTCAGACTCATGATAGGGTGAAGTCACGAGTTTGATATTAAATTGATTCAAGTAATACAAAGACATCAATAACACAAATCTGAACAATAACCAACATAAAAACTAAGGTTAAATTGGGCATTGAATTAGACATAAATAACAATCATAATCAAAATTTTAAAACGTACGTTTATAAAACAAAACGAAAAAAATATCCTAGAATACGCATCCGATCTTGTCGAATCCAGCTTGTTGAAGACAGTCGCGAGAGAAAAGATGATCTCACTTGAAACCCAAACGGAGGCAACTGCCACAGTGCTGGTGGCTCGCTAACGCGCACGCCCGACACCACCACCGATCTCTTATTATCGCGTGCGCCAGCCTTGTTAACGAGATCCCAGATTAGAAAGGTGGCGGTGGTGGGGGAGGCGGGGGTACTGAGAGATAACGAAGGGGGGGGGGAGAGAGGGTGTAGGTTGGAGGTCACGAGGCTTTGAGCTCCGTGGCAGACGCTACCGCTTGCTCTGCCCACGGTGCCAAATGGGCAACCGCCCAACAAAGTCGCGTTCGCGCGTCTCTCCCGAATGTCACAAGATGATCGACTTAATTCCTGCGCGGCTAAGAGGCACGCCATGTGGGCCCTAACCCCGACGTAACGCAGTAAAGATGTTAACGCTTTTAATTTTAAAACTGATGCGGCGGCAGTTAGTTTCCTGCATGCGCCGCCAACAATGGCAACGCGGCCCTAATGACAGCCTGTGAGTTATTACAGCAGAATCGTGGCAGCCGCATCGAGAGAGCCAGCCTGGCACGACAGCTAACGGGGGGGCCGCTAATTCAGCAGGGAAAAAAAAATATATATACATTAAAAAATAACGAAACCCATCGGAGAGGGCCACTGTTTCCCCTAATTTTTCCGCGATGCCAGCGATGGCGGCTGCGTCGTCACAGCTGGTGCCGCAGCCAAGATGGAGCCGCGGAGCGAAGCGCGGGCACCATCCGCCCCCAACGCCGCTCAGTCCGCCCGCTCTTCCCGCTCGCGCGCACGCATGCACTCACTCGCTAACAACGGCGAGATTGTATGCAAGTGAGGCACTACACCGTGCATACTAATCACCCGCAGCCCCCGCACACTACCGGCGACGGTTGTTAGCGCCCTCCCTGCAATAAGCCTGCCCCTTCTGAGCCCCCCCACCCACCCGCCCGCCTGCCAACCAGCGCTTCTCTAATTTTTTTTAGCGCGCATAAATACGACGCAGCGCGATCAACTTACCAAATTACGCCGCTTAATGAGGAATTACTCCGCCGTCGGCAGAAGGCTCCGCTGGCCGCGATGGGCACTGGGTGCCGTGCCGTTGCGGTGTGGAGCGGGGTGGTGGAGCGGTGTGGTGAGCCGAAGGGACGCTCGGCAACGCGGGCCAGGGATACCAGTTTGGCGCGATCGCCTGTGTCAGTGGCGCTAGAGCGGGTGACGGGAAGGATTTTTCATTTGTGTTTTTCCGATCATTCCGTCTGTCCGTCTCACTCACCCGACCAACCAACACGTCCCTGCACTCCGCCCGTACCACCACCACTAGCCCCCCCCCCCCATCAAACCCCCCGCCACCCCCACCACCACCTCTCCTGTAACACCCACGCACGCAAAATATGCCTCGCGCATCTCTCTCCCGCACCCCACGTGCGAGCACATGCGTGCCCCCCCCCCCCCCCGGCCCACCTCAGCCCCCCCCACCGCCCCCGCCTCCCCACCACTCTGGGGGCGCCGGCTTCTCGAGCCCGTCAAGCGGGAGGCAGCGTTCGTTTCGCGCGACCGCCGTGCGACTGCCACGGCGCTGCCGGGGACACCGACGCGCCCCTCCCCCCCCCTACTCCACGCTTCACCGATACGATTAGAGGAAGCGCCGAGGCTTGGCGGCGGCCAAGGTGAGGCTCGGGACGGCGAGACGCGAGCGTGGAGCTCGGCACTCCGCCGCCTCGGCGGCGTTACGAGCGGCGTGCCCCGCTCCGACCGGACCCCTCGCCGTCGCTCCTACCAGTGGCAGGAGCGTGGCGATATTTCGTGAGGGGGGGGGGGGAGGTGGTGGTCACCGTTTAATGATGGAAACAACAGGCCCAGACGCGTACCTCCCAGACGGACGGCCTTTCGCCGACGCGGACAAATTGCTTGCCACGCACATTGAGGGAGCAACCGTCAGTTTTAGCTCGGTGAATTTTGGTGCTGCAGCCCGGAGATGCCGACAGGAGCATTGCTCTCCCAGCGTCGATGCGGGGGTGGGGAGCTAGGGGGCTCCTGCAACCGGACCCCTCCCGCACCCTCCCTCCCCCTCTTCCGTGAAGAGGCACCGGCTGTGAGTGCTCTCCCCACCACAATAAACGCTCTCATCTCTTTTTCTCTTTTTCACAAAAAGAGAATTCTATGCCGTGCATTATGAGATGTTATGCAACCTCTCTATCGGGATTTTGCGTTTGTTTATTTCTTTAAGAGCAAACATCCCCACCGAGCACAATGAGTTAACAGTGTACTCATTGTGTGTGGGGGTGGACAGAGGGTGGGGGGGATGGGGGGGGGTGGAGCAGTTGGGGGGGGCCCTACTCACAACTGCACCCCCACTCGGCCCCACCACCGTCAAGGCCACAACAGAGCCGCCCTCCCCGCACGACACGGACACGGCAACAGCAGGATTCACAGGGGCATTGGGTCACGGGGTTAGGACTTCAAGGCTCACAGCATCATGGAGTCGGCTCCTCCGTGACTCAATGCCACGAGGGCCACAGAGGGCCTTAACTGGCTGCGGTGTACAGGTGTGCCTCCTGGCATTTAGCGCAAGAGGCCGGGGGCCAAGGTGGTGGTATTACGCGTGACGTCAACAAAGATCGCCACGATTACATTCACTCCCTATCCCACAGCGCGTAGGGACAAACCGTCCGTACGGCACAGCGGGAACCAGCGCAGGACAAATGGCGCGAGCGGCGGCCTCTTGGTGACAACCGTGGTATCCAAATACTTCCCCTGCACGCGTGCACGGCTATGAGCCCCCAACGCTAACGAGCTGCGAGCTCAACGGACCTTCAAAACGTCACCTGCCCGATACCGACGCGGTAACGGCAACACGGCGATCGCGGCCGGCCTCAGTGATGCGACAGGGGGGAAGACGCCAGACCTCACCTGGATTTTCTTGCCCAGGTGCTCCCGGTCGTCCTTGTGCTTCTCGGTGCAGCGCTGGAAGGGCTCTCCCATCCCCTGTAGGAGCAGGGGTGGTGGGGGGGGTGGAGGGGGGGTTGTGGGTGGGGGGGGGCAGACAGCGGGGCCACATGGAGAGACGCGGGGCTCAGGGCTCATCAGCAATGGCACGCCGGGGTCTCGCCCGCATTGATATTCATGAACGAGGACCAATATTGGTTGTAATTTTTTCCCGCGGCCCCCAGAGTTAATATAACCTGTAACCTGTGCCCTTGACAATGCAGCTGCCATAAGCGATGCTAGCCCACTCACAAAGCCGGCGGTCCCCCAAGATGCTCCTGACATTTCACTCAATTCCGTGCTCATTTGCACTTTGTCCAAAGTGACAAAATTACCTCCTTTGGAAAATGAAAAATACATATGTAACGCTCGCCGGGAATGGCAGCCTGGTGGGCGTCCCGGAGGCCACGCTCCGGCACAGTGCTGGCAAATCAGCATTCCGCTGTCTCCATGTCACCGCGATCTCGGTGAAGCCGCATGGCGGTGATGCACGCACGGAGTTTCACGGGCAGGCGCCGATCGCCGCCACTCACTGGAGGCGTAGCGTGGTTGGCATGGGCCCTGGTCTAAGGAAGTAAATTGGACCACCCCCCCCCCGCACCTGCCACCCTCCACCCCCCTGCCCAATTACCGCCCTCTTTGTAGGCTGACACTTGGGCCCCTCCGGACCGTAGGCCCCGGTGCAGTTGCACTCCCTGCACGCGCAATAGCTACACCAACAGGCTTACGAGGGAGCGCCTTAATCTGAGCGTCTCCTGTGTTCATCAAGGAACCTCGATCTTTGTGTCGCCAAATTCTCCTCCCTCTTCGCAGCCCGCCACATCGGCCCCTCCGGCTCTTGGGTCCCAGGGCAGCTACACAGCCTGTACTCACTCCCCCCCCCCCCCCCCCAAAAAGCAGCTCACCCGGCGGGATCCGTACGATCGGACTGGGCGGCCAGGTAATTCCTGCGCCGTTAAGCCACCGGTGTCAGAAATCAGGGTGAAATAAGCCACGCAAGCCGCTCGGATCTCAGGCGGATCCGCGGGCCGGTTGGGGACCCCACGCCACTCCTAATCCCTGCGAGCAGCAGGCCGGTTTAAAGCGGCCAACGGGCGGTCGCGGCTCAAGCCGCCCAGGGACACGCGGCGCAGACGTTAGACCGCCGACCGTGGTTTACGTTAAAACTTTTTTATCAAATTGCATTCAGGGCCCTTGCTTGGGAACAACGGAAGGTAGCCTCCCAATCAGGACTGGATTTATCACGGAATATTTTGCCGAGCCGCTGGTAGGCTGCGGGAGACGTGCGAATGCGAGCTGCAGCCGTGGCGCGAGGTGCAATGGACGTGGTGTGCCAGGTGTGGAAGAATTTTTTTTTAGGTCACTTGTGCCAGAAAACCCTGCTTAGATTAAAGCCCGCTGCTCCCAATGTCACTCTGAAGCCTTGATTCACTGAACTAGCAAATTGACGCGTTACGCACGCGCAAAGAAATGCCAATGGGGCATCTTCATCTGGAACCGTCGCCTTCCAGATATCCCTCTGCTCCATCTTGAATCCACAGCTGTGCTCTGCAATTTCATTTTTACTTTTTCACGGACGCCTTTCACGTCGTCAGAGCAATGAATCAGCTGAGGGAGGGGACACGGCAAACCCAGCGCCGGTTCCTTGTCCTGGCCACCCACCTGGGTGGGCGGCCGGGACAAGGAACCACGATGGTCGCTCGTCATGGAGCAGCCACGACCGATCGGTGGCCAACACTGGTGGCTTTCACAGGAGGAGCTACACGGCAAACACGCACCCGCGTGTGCCTCGCAGGTACACACGCGTGCCTCGCAGGCACAAAACAAGGGTAACGAAGATTCCCCCGGTGTAAATATCTAACAGGACAGCAGGAACAAGTGTTGCTCGCGAGCACCTATGACGGCTAACTCGGCACACGAGGGGGTGGGTCGACAGGACCATGTCCGACAATCTTCGTCTCCCCAGTGCCGATGCTTACACACCGCACCAGGTGCTAATTTATTCAGCTGCATCGACCTAGAGGAGGCCCAGGACCGGTTCAGATATTCAACACCGATGTTGGCTGTGAGCGGGAATTGTAGCTCAGTGATTATATAACAGAGCAATGCAATGCCTTGGGAGTGGGAAGCAGCCAGCAGCTGTGTGTGTGCGCATCCGTGCCTATCTGCGGTATGGGAGGATATAGAGCTGATCAGGATTTGCTGTTGATTGGTACCAGTGCTGACAAGATGGGCCTCTGTGCAGGAGGCTCGTGGAGGATGCTACTGGGTGGTTGGTGACAGAGAGCTGTCGGAGCGAAAAATCGGACATCGTGCCGAATGACACAGAGGGGTGGGAGCTGTATTCCCAAGCCATAGCGTTTCCTGGATGTGACGCATCCTCTGTGGCGAGTTGGCTTGGAATATCTCTTGCGGAAAAATCTGACGGCAAAAAAGCGATGCTCACAGAAACAAGGGGAGCGCCTGGCGGCTAAAACACAGTAATGTAGCACAGATGATGCATCTACCAGTCATCCTCCTCAGTGAACCCATGGCACCTGGGTTTATCCTGACCTCCTGCAAACAGACACCCTTCCGCACGTGCCAAGGCCTCAACGTGCACCTATCTTCGCACAAGCACGATGGTGATGTCACTGCCACTTAGTGGCGAATGGCGGTTGTTGTTGTATGTGTATTTGTGGACAGCAGCCATACATTAGCACCATCTAAACATTACTGGGGCTCCCCCCTAGATAAACAGTAGCACTCTATGCAGGGCCATCCGTTTGGTGAGTGTGGTGTATGCAGGGTAAGTGTCACGAGTGTGGTGAGTGTGGCATGTGCAGGGTGTGTGACCGAGTGAAGGGACAGGGTGGTGTGTGCGGGTTGTGTGCGGGTTGTGTGCGAAGGGTGAGTGCAGTGTGTGCGGGGTGTGTAACTGTGTGAAGGGCGAGTGTGGGGTATGCGAGGTGAGTGCAGTGTGGAGGGTAAGTATGGTGAGAGCAGTGAGTGTGATGTGTGTGCGGCGAGTGCGAGGTGCGTGCAGCGTTCGCTCCGCGCTTACTTCCGTCGCCGGGCCTCGCCGCTGCGCGCCCTCGCAACGAGCCCTGGTCTCCCCTGGCGTGGCCGCCGCACGCGACCAACGACGGCGTCCCTTGGGGAAGCTGTCGCGGACAAACACCAAGACGGCCGTTTGGGCAGGGAGAGACGCGCCCCAAGGTCCGTTGTCTCACGCTCGCACCCGGCTCGCCGCGACCGCACAAGCTACGGCACGGCGGCGACGGCACCGTCGGGGCCCCAAATCGGGGGGGGAAATATTTTTTTTAAATGTATTGTTTATGATCACTGCAAATAATACGCTTAGGCTCATTGAGTGAAGAGAACAATAAATATACGTGTACAGAACAAAAGGAGAAACAATGGAAACAAGGTGGGACCAATGATGCAGAGAAGAGTCGATTCTTATCGGGGAGGTTAGTGTGACAATTCATCGAACTTCTATGGGGCCAGGGGTGTGTCAATGATAACACGTGCAACTCGGACTATAAGCAGGAATAAGCAGTGGATAATTATTACTGCTGCTGATGATGATGACGTTGTTATAAACATGGAGTGAAACACGCACACTGAATGTCTCCGGGTCCTCACTTCAGATCAGATGTGGCAGTCGCTGCTCAGCGTGCGAACCTACGAACAAGAGGCGATATTGTCAGACTTGATCTTTTCAACTGCTGGAAATCTGTCACTCCGTGACACGGCAACCGCGGTCAAACTTCCGCTCGTTTCGTCTCTCCTTTTTTTCTCGCTCTCCCAATTAGGTTTCCGATTGCGCTGAAGGTTGTCACGTGCGGCAACTCTCACGACGAGCATTAACAACATCACCCGGTGCCAGAGATCGGCAACAGAAGATGACGTCACACAGCCAGGGCTGTATTTATCTCTGCCCCTGGGAGACTGGAACAGAAAAAAAACTACGCACCTTCCGTCACCTCCCCAGTTCCTTGCCTTATTCACTAAGACAAAGAACACACCCATTGTAGCCTCCACAGGCTGTTGGGGCAATTGCTCAGAGCGAGCGCCTATGAAGGCCGACAAGGCGTATGTAGGGGGTGGTGTGGCTGGCACCACTGCCGGCCGGCTCTGTCTTCTCACTGCTGATATTTCCACACCACTGCAGGTGCTCATGTAGGGCTGAGTCGACAAAGGGGAGGCCCAGGACTGGTTCAATAACCACCACCGATGTTAGGCGTGGCTGGGAACTGAACTCGGACAGCCTGGTTCTTCGCGCAGTGCGCTAACCACAACGTTACTTCCCCCGGACCCTCTCCTCTTGCATATACAGACCCTACAAGAAGACTACGGAATGTCTGGGAGGCTCAAAGGGATAAACGTGATTAACTGGAGTGCCCCTCTCTCTCCCTGCGGCAGCCCCGCCCAATTTTAAATAACCACGCCCACTCAATCACTTGCACCACCCACACAGTTGGAGCGACCTCCTCAATCTGACATGAGGTCCACCCACTAATTGGCTTGCTCCCCCACTACTCAGGTAGCCCCAACCAGTAACCAGGCAGACCCACCCACTACTCATCACACACGACTTGGGGGAAACCCCACCCATTCGTGTTCATATGCATTAATCAGATGTTCCCCACTGCTCAAGTAGACCCCACCCACTGCTCAAGCAGCCCCTGCCACTACTCGGATAGCACCACCCTCTATTTGGGTAGCCCTGCCCTTTGCACGTATCATGAGGCCACAAATATTAAAGATCAAGCCGTCATCATGGCCCATCGCCATTGATGCCGCAGAAAGCACAAATACCTGACAATGCCGTTGTTAGACCGGGGGGGGGGGCAAAAAATCCAGATATTCAAAGCAGCTTTCATGGGTGAAGTGGGGACAGCGTATTTTGAAACAACTTTTGAACTGTCCAGGCCACAGCGGGAGGTTTGGTGGGCCCACCCTACCTGTGGTGACGGACGGGGAGTGGCTAAACCACAGCAGCGTGGCTCAGCATGGCCCGCGCGGCTGGCTGTGGCTTTGGCGCGCTCCCCCACAGCGGTGCTCCGCAGTGGAGGAAGTGCAGCTCCTCCCCCTGGTCACACACGGACATCGCCACGGCACACACACAAAAATAAAGACAAAGATCCCCCGTGTAGCCTTAACAGACTGTTGGGGCAAATGCTGTTAGCGAGCACCTGTGAAGGCCGGCACGGTACACAAAGGGGTAGGTTGCCATCACCACGCCCGGCCGCCTTTGTCTCCCCAGTGGCAATGTTGACACACTGCACCGGGTACTCATTTGAGGCCGAGTCGACCTAGGGGAGGCCCATTACTGGTTCAGAAAATCGTCACTGGTGTTGGCCGTGAGCGGGAATCGAACTCGGATTGCTGGATTCGTAGCGCAGCGCGCTGACTGCTACACTGCCGCTCCCCACAGCACACACGCACGCACGTTCGTAGGGGGCACCGTCTCACGCCACGTCTACCACCAGTCACCACATCTTCGCGCATTGCACGCCATAAACACGATATAGCGACACAGCGCGTGCTCGCAAAGCGTCAAGAAGTGAGCGCACCTCAAGACGCTGACGGAAACGGAGAGCGGGCTTATTTTGCAGAGAGCGAATTGCAGTGGATCATCGATTAACCGGCTGCTTCCAATATTATCCGGTGGTCCCGGCCCGATTCGGCATGCACAGAGGCCCTCAAACTTTCATGCCCACTTTTCGGCAGAACCTCACAAGCATTTTCTGACTCGTGTGATCTGTATGTGACTTAATAAATAAAAAGGAACCCGTATTTACACGCAACGCAATCGGACGACTCCATCACCCTTACGCACCCACCGGCACGCCCGTTTACAGGGACTCACGGTCCTGCATTTCCCAGTTCATGTAGCAATATGCAGAGCTTTTGTGCATTCCCCTCCATCCAGATTTTACCCTTGTTTTATCCCACGAGAGACATTCCTAGCCGGACTCTGCCACAGAGGACAGTCCCCCTTGCAGGGACCTCTCGGGCACAGCACTCCAAAAGTGTTATCGCGTGTTGTTGGGCAACGCCCGTCTCGACGGCTCTCCCCGTCCACCCGCACGTCTGCTCCCGTGAAGGGCAGTTCCCCACGCGCTCTCACTGGCTGCAATTAACGAGATGCCGAGAGTTCGGGCGACAGGCTCGTCTCGGTGACCGGCAGGGGGCTCCCTCGCGTCCCTCCAAACGCGACTCCCAACGGAGATCTCCGGTCGTGGCGGAATTGACGCCGCGGCAACCTCGGCAGTGGCCGCTCGGCAAACAGAACCCACAACGGAGCCCACCCAACTGCTGGACGTCTTTGAAGATCTTCATAGCTCATCGGATTCCTCCAGTCGAAATGAACATTTTTCGATTTAAAGCTTTCGTGACTGCAGGGATTCATATTCTTGGATCTTTCGGTAAAGTCTCGTAGAAGGGAAATAAAAAAATAAAATAAAAAAACATCAAATTCTCACGACGTCTCGGCCACAACACAAGCAGCCGTCCTCAGGTGAAGAACAGAGTTGACAGCTCTGTTCTTTCCGACAGCTCTGCTTGTGTTGTGGCCGAAACGTCGTGATAATTGTATTATGTTTTATTTTGATTATTTTATTATTTCCCTTCTACGTGACTTTACCGAAAGATCCAAGAATATGAATGAACATTCTGAACAGATTCTGATTCTGGTGGGACTGAAGGCACACGCCGCGCGGCCACGCCGTGTCAATCCACTGCTGGATAGAGGACTAATTCCCGTGCAGCGCAAGTCCTGAAAATGTTCATACTCCTGTATAATGGAACAAGTGTGAGTTTGTCTGTTACTGTGTCTGTCTGGAAATTTTTTGTTTAAAAAAAATCCCATTATTTCGTTGAATATAGATTTTATGCATTTTTGGAATGTCAGTAAAAATTGTAATTGAAAATTTGGAGAAACATTACAGGCGGTCTCTGGTTTACAATGGGTCCAATTTACGTCGCACATTTACGACGTTTATATAACGCCACCGTGGATCGATGTACGCTGCATCTATGAGGCACCTCCCAACATGACTCGGAGCATATTTGAACGGTGATGTTTCCACTGCGAAACGTGATAGAAAGTAAGCGAGTTTTTTTTCCAAAAAGATCAAGTTAACGTTAGGAAGGAAGAAGACAAGATACGAAATTTTCATGAAAAAATAATTAAAATAGCTGTGTACATTTTGGTAAAAACACAAAAAGTACGTTCTGTACACTTAACACTCTTGTCCTATGATTTTATAGCACTAGGGCACTATTTTATAACATGTTATAGCATTAATAAAAAATGGTTAATACTTCATATATTTGACTAAAGCCTATATTTCTCGCCTTTTTTGTGAAAAATTGGCTTTCTAACCCATGTCCAGGAATGTAACCGTCCCACTTATGGAGTCACCGCCAACACGAGCCAAGGACAAACACCGGAGACAATTTGAATCTTCCTCCCTTCTGGTGCGTTTAGTCAAGGCCAATATTACGCGTGGCAAACTCGTGCGTTGGATCCAGCAAAGCCATCAAGATTCTGGCTCGGAAGGATTCGTATCCGGACAAAGATGGAAAATACACAGATAATGTGGTCTATAAAGATATTTAGATGAATTATTTCGTTACTTTTGAAATTAAACAAAAATATTTATGAATGTTATTGTCTTTAATTTATTACTTACAGTAGTTTACATTTTACTATTGGCTTAGGTTAGGCTTCATAGGTAAGAACTGAATTTTACTTTACCAGGTCAGGCTCACTGAGCTTTAGAGCTCTTTTTCAGAAGCGACCTGGCCACAAACGAAATGACTTATCGTGTTGAAATTCACAGCAGCCAAATACTAGAAAAGCATATTCATGAATGTGGAGGGAAAAACCAGAGGACCCGGAGGAAAATCCACGCAACCACAGGGAGAACATACAAATATACAGGCATCCAGGTCAGGATAGAATCTACGCCCTGTATGTATGCAGAACTTCTTTCGCGCTGTACGTAGCCAACCTCTTGTATACCAGGTGAGGTAGTTAACATCTCGCCACCGTGGCGCCCCTACAGGCCCAAAACCTTCTAGTTATGCTAAAGCTGCTTAGATCGGTGTGTGAAGGTCAGGGAGCTTAGACGTTGGATCATAGTACAGTACAACGACGGATTTTGCTGCTCTGCCCACTGTTGGGAATGTAGTCTAGCAGCCACGACCCTCTCGCACATTCACACATCACGATGCCTGCACGGACACCCTAGCCTCAAGATGGATTACGATGTGGTTTTATATCACGTCTAAATGCCAAGGTGCTGTACACAGGGACAGTGAGGATGTTTATTTTACAGAGAGAGGCAGCCATTCATAGGCGGAGGGGAAAAAGGAAGGTCTTGAGCTTGGACTTGAATCAACACGGACGGCTGAGGAAAGGGAGATCCAGACCACAGGGGCAGCAGGGAAGAAGGGACAACCTACCAATCAGTGAAAGTTGACTGGGGGACTTCTACAGCGAGCAGGGAGTGCCTGGGAGAGAGTAGAATGAGATATGAGGGGAGAGTTAGGAGAGTGCGTGGAGAAGAGAAGAGTGAAATGAGAGGGGAGTGGTAGGAGAGTGCGTGGAGGGGAGTAGAGTGAGATGAGAGAGTGGTAGGAGAGTGCGTGGAGAAGAGAAGAGTGAGATGAGAGGGGAGAGGTAGGAGAGTGCGTGGAGGGGAGTAGAGGGAGATGAGAGAGGAGTGGTAGGAGAGTGCATGGAGAAGAGAAGAGTGAGATGAGAGGGGAGAGGTAGGAGAGTGCGTGGAGGGAGTAGAGTGAGATGAGAGAGGAGTGGTAGGAGAGTGCGTGGAGGGGAGTAGAGTGAGATGAGAGAGGAGTGGTAGGAGAGTGCATGGAAGAGAGTAGAGTGAGATGAGAGGGGAGAGGTAGACAGGGCGAGTCCATGGAGGATCTTGAAGACGTTGAGTGTCATTTTGAAAATTGTTCCAGGACAGGATTGGGAACCAGTTGAGGGATCGGAGTATTGAAGAGACGTGGTCTCGTTCATGGGTGTGGGTGAGAAATCTGGCAATGGAATTCGGGGTCATCTGGCGTTTGGAAGTGAGGGACGTGGGGAGGTGAGGGACGTGGGGAGGTGAGGGATGTGGGGGAGGTGAGGGCTGTGATTAAGGTATAGGTGAGGGTCTCAGCAGCAGCTGTGTAAGGAACTGGGGGGATATGGGAAAAGTTGTGCAGATGGAGGCCTAAGGTTGTGCAGAATTGAGAAGCGTGGGGAGATCATAATCACAACTTCAATGTTTTGAATCTTTGACAGAGTTTAAAAGGAACACACTCAGAATGAACGGTCCATGGTATCAGTTTCGCAAACATTTCGCTGGAAGAACACAGAACCAAATCCACGGTGAGGCTGCATCCAAGCCAGCATGCCAGAGCGCACAGTCAGGCTGGCTTGCATGGTCTCAGTGGCAATGTGGAGCTGGCTTGCATAACCACAGATGTGACGGTCAACATGCAAAGTGGGAGGAGATTTATCTGGAGGGCCAAGGACGGAACCTTGTGGGACACCTTGGCACGGGGGCCTCTCGAGAGGACTACAGAGTCAGGCCTCGCGTGGAAGTGCAGAAGACGCGGTTTGCGAGGTACGAGCGGAACCGGCAGAGAAGTTTTCCGGAGATGCCCACAAGGATACGGAGCCGCTCAAGAAGGCCGGCAGCAGTCTGGTGCCAAACGCAGAGAGGTTTAGGAGAACGAGGGGTGAGCGAGATGCACGGTTTGACAAAATCGTTTACCACTCGTAAGGAGAGTGGCTTTACAGTGGATTGGCCCTTGGCCGGTAAATTGCACTGGGGGATCGTGGAGACCCAAAAGGGAAGGAGAAAATCTTGACTTAAAGCTTTCGTGATTGCAGGAATTCATATTCTTTGGGTCCTTCGGTAAAGTCACCTTTATAGGTTCAAAGAAAATAACAAAAAACCATGAAGTTTCGATCGCAACACAAGCGGTCATCAACCGCTTGTGTTGCGATCGAATATGGAAGAAGCAGTGTAACCACGATCCGCATTCACCCTCGCCGGCCCCAGGAAAACGTGGCACGGGCGTTGCGTGTCAATTAGACGTCTATTTAATTACAGAGCATGTAATTGACATAATTTGATTAAAACTGTCCACACCAGGCGAGAACATAATCACATTATGAGTTTCAGCTTTGTGGGCAGAAGAGCCGCACACAAGAGCGCGCGCAGCCCGACGTGAGACGTGTTTATCGACGTTTGCCAGCGCCGAATGCGCCGCATTATTTAATCCGACGACTTAATGACGGCGCCTTACAAGCCACGTGTTTTGATTTCTGAGCAGCGACCTACGAATGAGCGACGCCACGTGTGGTCTGGCGAGCGACGAAGGGGACAAAGACCAACGTCGATTAATGACGTCCGGTGAAGGAGACGCTCGAGTTTACCAAAGCATTGTGGGTAACGCATGACCATTGGTATCGTTACGCTTGTTGTTGTTGTTTGCAGTCGCTTGAATGTGTACGTTTGCACCCACAGACGTATTTCGCCAGGTGCATGCGATTAGGGAAGTTAAAACTTTTCAAAACCCATAAATTACGTGTACTTTTTTTAATTACCATTAAATTATTTTGAGTTGTTTGCATGATTTTTTTTTACACAACTCAGCATTGTTTAGCTTATTGTGCCGTGAAGTGCGGAATAACTTCAGACGAAAGTAATAATTACAACATAATGTTCTTAAAATAAATTCTGTCCGTGTTTGCAAGAGGCTGCTGCTGGTGGAAGTGCTGCCTTGATCTGGCTCTATGAGCACCCCAACGAGCGTGGCCCGGCCACACACACCTCCTCCCCCAAACCCCAACCTCCCAACTCGCTCCGGCATAAAAAACACAAAAATTGCCAAAACCAGATCCATAAAAACACACCTGGCCACATCATTTCAAATCTCGCCCCAAGATTATTCGTGAATCCCACACATTGTACTCATTCTACTCAGGGCTCTTCTTCCATCTGCAGAAAGAAAAGATCGGCCTCACGACGCACCGGTGAGATCTTCCTGCACCGAGCGGCGCCTAGGCACCAGCGAGCGCCATCGTACGGCACCACGGACGCCATCAAACGTCGCCGCTGACCGAAACGTCTCGGCTTCTCGAGCAAGGTTCGGTCAGCACGATCGAGGGCAACCACGAACAATGGCGCGTGGAAATAGCGCTGACTCGGCACTGCCTGCGCCAGCGGACGGCGCTCGGGGAGGTTCCGTCGGGACGCGACGAGCGTTGGCGCAGAGCGGCCATTTCGCGACACCCAAATCCCACGGTGGTTCCGGCGCTAAAGCCGCGCGCGAGCAGACGGCACGAGAGCCGCGGCGCTGAGAATCGCTTTACTCTCCGCCACATTCCTCG